GATAGGGCTTTGAAGGGCCAACTTCACTTTCCTCGCCCTCTTGGGCACTGCCGGGCACTTGAGCGCAAAAAAATAAAGAGGAGTTAAATCTGATGAGGAGAGATGAAGCCGATAATTCCAACCAACTTCATGGAAATCAACTAAGCTGCAACTGCAGATCGGCTTCTGTATTGGCTATTTTTCAGGAAAGAGGAAAACTTTGCTCTCTTCGGTGCTTAACCATTCAGTAGCCCTCGCAGACCTGGATTTTATGTTTTTCGAGTCATGCAGCATGCTATTTTTCATGTAATGGTAGTCCGAAAATGCACTTGGCTTACTAATTGCAAACATGAAGACTCTGATGGCCTATTTGTTAACCGCCACTCGGATACACCCAAATCAGTTGGGATGATCTGCGTCAGAATTGCTTTGTCGTTTGAGTGGGGACACGGAGAATACTTGACGCGTTGCAGATGCGGCAGTTTCAGGGAAAAGGGCCGCTTTGTACACCCCAGACCACCCCTCACGCCCAGTGCACATCTTTGCCTGACGTGCAATCGAAAAGTTCACCCATCTGCGTCAGAATTATGAACGCAACATTTGCCTGGGTCCTTCTGCCAGCCCGCGGACATACAACGTTGTTTTCTGTTTCTTAGTCTCTTGGCCGTTGTGCGGATACTATAGTCGCATAACTGTGTACACCATGGTTGAACTGGTGGCACGCCCTGCTTTAATGTCTGACAGGCAGGGCTCTTAACTCTCCTTTGAACTTCACAACATGATAAAATTAAAAACTGGCAGACTTGCGATTATTTGTTTTAGAGTCCCTCTAACCTTACGGAAAATATATTGAGATGAGCTTTACTTGAGTAAATAGGCGCGTTGAACGACAGGCCATTTGTGAGTCTTTCGTACTGCTGGTTCCCGACATTTCAACGCACACAAATATGCGAAGTTACATCTGCGGTTATTTACTGCAGTTTCAATATTTGTTGGCTAAAAGCACACCTTAGAAAACAAACCATGAATTGGCCCGCACATATAAAAATTACCGAAGTCAATCAATACGTTCGGCACCTCGCCTCAAGGGAGATCTATATTTTCGACTGAAGTAATAAAATAAACGGGAATTACCAAAGGCAAGGATATGGCTTATGACCACAGTTACTTCCTCCGGGAAGCAACTGTACTAAAAGGAAATAACTGACGATCTTTGTTTGTAAGTGCCAGAGAACTAAATAAAAAGACCTCGCTGTGGCAGTTGCGTGAGACTGGTCATGATGCTTTAAGATAGTCATCGGAGTAAAAATACGACAATTCAATACCTTTTTGACAACGTCTGCAAAGGAAGATGAGATTCATTTACGCCTATCCTTAAATGGCAAGCATAGTGTCCTTTTTAAATTGGTAACGGTATAGAGGATCAAAATGTGTTACACCACAAAGTTCTTTGATGTTCAGGTCTTTTGCTCAACACAAAGGCTTCCCGAAGTAAGTAACTCCGGCCATAAACCATACCTTTGTCTTTTCTAAATGTCCAAATATTCCTTCCTACAAATTGTTTAAATTTATTCTCATGCTCCAACCTTCCCAGATTCAATTCGTATATTCGCAATTAAAAATGCAATTTTGCTCTCAATTCTATCTGTCCTCAATTATGCCTCAAGTTTTCCTTATAGACGGTAAACGTTTTTCGATATACCCGCATCGTTGTACATAAAACTTCACTCACAATAGCGAAATTAAGGCAGTCATGCTTGTCGCGGCCTACGAATAAAGTTTATCTTTTTGAACTCGTACTTTTGGCACAGGTTTAATGTCTTGAAGATGTGAAAAAGGGATGGCCAATAGAGGGCAGCTTGCAGTCGAAGCTAACGCTTTCAGTTCGCAAGAACAACCTTATAACTGGCGTCTTTCGTGTCATTACTTTTCCTCGACCGAACACGAAGGGAACATTTACAGAGTTCCGTTTCACAGATCTCCGTTCGTACGGACTGGAATTTCATAACAAGGATATCTTTTCAGTGGGTAATTTCCAGACTTGGCAAGTTTACAACTATCCCCACATCTATGCTCTGCACTTTCGAAGGGCTACGTTCCTAGACAATCATTCGCTTTCTTGACTTATGGAAACTCTAATGAGTGTTGTGATCCTAACTTTATGTTAGCATAGGAACTCCGGTATTGCACCCTATCTCATAGTAAACTTACCATGACTCCAAAAGATGTTCTCTTAAACGACATACACTATGGCGCCCGAAGCCCCTGACCCAACACTTAGATTCCAATTAAGATTTAGGAATATCCAAAGATACCAACCCACATTGCCTTGCTGTTAGTTCGCGGTGGTGACGCAGCTTCGACCCACAAGTGGTTAATTGGTCATATGTGTTTATGTAGCCCCACCTGGAATAAGCAAAGCCCAGTCACCTTTAATACAGGACCGGTGGTGATAGGGCTTTTTAGAGGTGGGGCCGGGGAACGCACAGGTGACGAGGTCAAGCAGTTGTATGCAAAAGAAAAGCTATTGGGAATGCGTGGTTGTAATTTGAATGGGAGAGAAATAGTTGTGCTAACACCTGACTCTAACTCTAACCCCCAAGTATAACCCCTAATCCTAAACCCTAACCCCTAACCAAAACCACTAACCCCAACCCTAACCTTTAACCCCAACCCCAGAAGTAGTGTGTCCACATCTTACCGGTTAATCCTCAACAAGCCAAATGACCACAACAATGACCGTAACACTGAGTCCGCTGGCGGTCTTGTCGACTGGTTGCTCAACCTATAGATTAGCGGACTGATCAGTGTTGAGGACTTTGCTATTTGCAGCAAAAGCAGCGGTGGGCCAATGCTGACTTGGATGCCTAACACGCATATATGAGACCTTGACTGGAATTCGGCGGAATAAGCGTTAATGGATGGACATTGGCGGATCTCGTCCTCCGGACAAAAGTTCGTCTGCATTAGCTTTTTGAAGAGACAAACGACTCTGCAAATTCCTCTCAGATGCAGTAAGGAAAGCGAAGAAAAAGGAAAAGGGGAGGATGGGCTAATCGCTTTAAACATCACCGACAAAGAAGACAATTATTTCAATGTGGCATTGTTCTATCAACTGTTTGTTTAAGAAAACTTAGTATCTACTCGACAGAATGGAGAGGATACATCTTACTTCATGCGTCCATTGTCCCTTTTGCAACCAGCAAGATCATAGACGACCTCTCACAGAGTGAATTATGGATGATGCGATGGCGGCTGGAAAGTGAATTAAATGGGTATCTGTATTGTAGTCCGCCCGGCGTTCGCTACTGAAATCCAACTCTACTTTCGAAGGAAAATCATAGACATGCATTTTGGTTTCCTCAGTTCCTACGAAAATATTAACAATATATGGAGTGTAGCCAGCGCTATAAAAGTTGGAGCCTTCACAACATTTTCTAAAATCCAAAACAACTTTGCGATCGGCCCAAACTTCAAAACCGTTAAGAAGATGAAATCCGAGAAGAAGTTAAATGGCAAAAAAGGTACTTAACATTGTATTTACTAGTGACTAGTTGTCACAAAGAATTCTGCACCGTAGGCGTGTTCTGGTTCAAACAGTTTTAGCAAGGGAAATGGAAACTATCAAAACTGAATTACGAACTGCACACATCTGAAATTAAAAAACAAGTAAAATAAACGTCAAGTTTTGCAATCCTCTTCACATGGAGATTATTTACAGCATACACGGCCTGAGTGTGTCATCGAGTCTTGAAAAAAGTAAATAAATATGGAGAACACGATAATGTTAATTTGCCAAAGGCCCAGTCCATCAGCAATTTGCAAAGTAGCCATTTTCGGACCGGCACACTTTCCCGTCAGTAATTATGTAATATAAGTCGGATGACTGGGTCTCTTGTCACGGATCGGAGCCTAAAGAAGGGGGATGAAAATAGGACATGTATTTGACATGAAAGTTGCAAGCATTCACACGCTGCTGCAGCAACTCAGTTTCATTTTCAAGGGCTTCCAGGAAGCATTCATCGTCGAGGTCCATTCTCTCAGTTACGTTTACTAAAATTTAACAAAGGAAGTCAGGCGTGAGATCGCATAGCTGAGGGTGCATTCAAAGGGTGTCTGGCAATGCAGGCACTATCAGCGTTGACATTTCCTGCTGTTTCACACAAAAAAGCATTAGTCTTTATTTCGGGAATGGGTAAGAGCCACTTCTACCAGAAATCCGCGGACAATCTTATAATTTTACTCACCAACTAATTTGGAAGAATGTGCTATTAACTACTGGGAGACCGTGGAGGCTCCTTTTTGCCAGTCTTTGCCATGTTAAGGACAGATTTGAATTCAAGCTTATGCTCAAGTGGATTATTTAAGAAAAATTATAGTTAAATGTTCTAGTTAGTAAGTTGCAGGCAAACCAGGTCTGTCAATGTCGCTGTACTACGGGAAGAGGATCACCTAATTCACCCTGTCATATAGCTCAGGTCAGATAACCTAGGGTAAGCTGGCATAGCGATGCAAAATTGTCAGTAAGAGGCAGAAGCATATAACAATTTCGAATTTGTCTACTGCGCTTCCCAGCTCCTGCACTTAACCGCACGGTAATCTTTAGTGCATGTCTTTTGTTTTCAAAAGTCAATGACACTCAAAGGTAGGGTTTCATATTCTCATCTAATGATAAAAAGTATTGTGTGACTCGCCAGTCTTTTATTGCAAGCTACATGAATAGGAGTATGGCCGAAACCGTCTAAATATAGACAAACTCACGATCAAAACCCCAAGATCCGGGATCAGCTAGCAACCGGCTTTTTGCTACGGTCAGTTCCGCCTTTAGGGCCTCTTGGCGAGAAAGCAATGAGAGAATTTTCATTTTCCTCGCCTCATTTACGTTATCCTAAAATAGAAAGAAGAGGGCGAAAGAAAATTACAAAAAGTTTGCGCACTTCAATTTCAAGGGACCCTGGATACGTGGCAAACTACGCGACCGTGAAAGCAACCCACCAAACCCTGGACCTTCTATTACCACATAAGTAGAATTTCGTACACATTCACCGATTCCTCGCTCTCACTCGATAATAGTCCCTGCGACTCTCAACGCACTGATATTTTCGTGGTGATCTTGAGCCAGTGATTCCGATCGCTGCATATAACAGTTAACAATTTCCACTCATATGAGCTTCCATATATCCAGCAGTTCGTATGAATAATTCGAAAAACCTTGGCTTTGAGCAAACTTAATAAAACAAAAAATAAACATTTCTGAGGAAGGTGTGTCGAATGTCAATATTCAAACTGTGTTGCCATACTTTTCAGACCTATTGGATGATGGGGCAACTTATATTAAAAAATGCATGGTTAACGTATTCAGGCCGAGGCGGTTTTCGCGTAGAACTAGGTTAAACCAAAACGGCCTATTAAAAGTGTTCCAGCGATCGGGCTTACTTCTCCTCAATGGGGCAAAACGGTCTGTGTGACCATGCAAAAGTTATATTTGTAATAAGACCCAGATGAACTCGATTGTCTGAAATTCAGGGCGCAAAATTATTCGCTTTTTCACTTGGTGAAGTTAATATAACTCAAAAAGTTCTCCTAACGCACGATCGCGGGTTTTTCGAAATGATCTGCGAAAGCTTTCTGATCAGAGCAAACTTTGCGAGAGGTTTTAAACAAAGCATTAAAGAATTGAGCAAAGAGTACTCATGAGAGAGTGCTGAAGGTAGATGGGTGGCGCATGAGATGACCGCACTTTCCAAGGACACCTTCTTCATTGAGGCAGTCAGAAAAGATTGTCAAGGTAACTGGAGCATTGTCAGATTATGTTTGCTTACAGTTGACTTTAGTTCAACAAAGAACCTCATTAAGTGATTCAGAAGATTGTTAGGCACCCACATGTTTTCAATGACTCCTCTTCACTTTTAGCCTACATTAATCATGCATCTTGCCGTATCTTGTTTATATACAATATTAATAACTGCTTTCATGTGTTTTTAATTAGAGCCAATATTTTTGGTTATCTTCAAAATCCACAGAAAGGCAGCAGAATGTTTCATGCCTACTGAATGCAGGCTCAAATGCCATCCTAAGTCTCATTTTACCTAGAAAACAAAGTGAGTTAAAAAGTTGTAATGTACGCATTTCAGTGCATGAGACGTGGAGATGCTAGGAATTTTATTTCGACTCATTTTAGCTACACTGCCCTTATTTGCACCCAACGACATCATCCACGCTCCAGGCACGCCATAAACTCTTCGGATCTCAGGAAATCTCCAGCTTTCAGGCTTTTATTTAAATGTCTACTGCACTCATGCTGCGCAGTTAGGCTGCCAATTTGTAGAAAGGCCATCCCGTCGATCAATGCTTGTCTGCCCGAGCAGATCGCAGCGTCGGCTAACAGTCACGGGTAGATTGCCTCCGATGGCAAAATAGGCGAAGTTTTACTGTCAGTTTTTTCCCATTGCTATGCGAAGCAAGCAAACTTTTTCCCAGGAGGACTATGCAAAGTTATTGGTTGGCCGAAATTCCTTCCAAAAGGATAGATTACCGTCTTGGTAAAAAAACTTGAGCCCATTTGAAGACACGGTATTGAGCCACTAGTCATAGAATCACCCTGGTTTTGCCAAAGTCTCATGAGAACTCTTAGAATAACTGACTTCGGAAAGCGGACATAGCGGAAGTACCCTGTCCAGTAGTTGATGCATTCCTTGGGTTAGTGAGCAGTTTCTTCCAAAAATATAAGATGAGAAGCCCTAGGTATTTAGAAGTCCTAATGGAGGCCTGATGGTTTGGAGGCCGAACTGCACGAAGGCTTCATTCAGTCGCACGCGACCGGAGAACCACTCATACAGGCTTTAGATAATCGCCTACGTCAAGAGCACGGTGAAATACATGTTCTTGCATAATAATCTCAGGATTTGAAATTAATGATGAAATATAAAAACACGCATCTCGGATAACTTTTGACTTGGGCGAATAGCTTCATTCAGTCGCACGCGACCGGAGAACCACTCATACAGGCTTTAGATAATCGCCTACGTCAAGAGCACGGTGAAATACATGTTCTTGCATAATAATCTCAGGATTTGAAATTAATGATGAAATATAAAAACACGCATCTCGGATAACTTTTGACTTGGGCGAATAGCTGGCAGTCTACATAAAATATACGCTACTAAGTAGCTGTAAATAAATGAAAGGAAAAAACATGCTATAATAAAGACGTTGCCTAGCAAATTACGGTGCTGAGTAAGTAACGAAGCATGCAAGCACAGAGAGCTGGAAAATAATGCCTCAAATGAGCTTTGCCGACCTTTTCATTAAAAATTCAGAACCCGACTTTACGAAGCGCATAATTTTTATGCCAAAAATTTTTACCTTCAATTTTTAGCTATGAAGTTATGCAGACAAAGGAAGTTTATATATGCGTAGATCAGGTTAAAATGAAAACATTAAATTGAATGATATTTTTGGGCCTCATCCGAACTTCGTGTTTAGTCTTCCCAGGTGGTTGCTCACAATTATGCGTTGACTAATTGAGGAGGTTTATTAAATAAATATAAAAAGCCAGCAATGTCTACTCATGGTTCACAGGGAGTCGTCAGCCTGTCGTATGTAGACGCAGAGCATGAAATGCCTGATATTCGAATCCGGTATCAGTTGGTTACTAAGCTCTGTGAGCGGGCCCACAGCCAGCATCGATGGCAAATATTGGATGCCACGTGAGGGTGAGATTTACCGAGCTGCGAGGGATCTAGGCGATAGCTACAAGCGAAAATATAAGGTTCCGCACCGTCAGGTATCATCAGCCAAGATGTGATCTTGTTTCCACGGAAATCCCGCGACGTGTGAGTATAGTTCTGAACACAATGCAAAGAGGATTCAAGCTTCAACTCTTCTCTGATTGGCGAAGACGTATACTTGGGTGCAGAAACCGAACAAACCAGGAATTACCATCCTTGCGTTCCAGGTCCTATGTTCGGAGGCCTGTCCTGCGCATAGTAACTTCACTATATAAACGATGTTAATTCTATCGCCGTTTAATTTCCTCAAAAATAACTAAGAACTTGGAGTAGACCAGTTTAGTCAAGGTCTATAGGCCCAGACCGAGAATTTTCTGTATGAATATTTGAGCCGAAGTCCATCAGCCACGGCGGATAACTGCATAATATTCATTGACTGCCGACAAGAAGCTTATAGTATACTTTAGGGTAAAGTGATACCGTACTAACAGCACACCGTGTTTGAGCGCCCAAGTCATTTTTCCAACTAACGGTAGGACGTGCTTTAACTCTTGCGAACTTTTCCTCTCGGACATCTACAGGGGATTACGGAGGCATCAGTTTATGAAGACTTGGGGTTGATTAGTTTTTACAAATAAATGTTTTGGCAGATTTTGAATAATTTATTTTGATCCAGCTGTGAATGAGTCGACGGTCCCGAGGAGATTCGAGCCCATGACAGCAAACGTTTAAATCAGCTGAACTACGAGGCCCCACCGGGAGTTTTGAGTTCAGTCCCATTCAGGTTAAATCACCCGACCAGCTTACTGCAACATATGAAATGCATCATTTGTGGTAACGTACGCTGACTGCCCAAGCAGGTTGTTCTATGTAATTAATCTAGAGTCCACCAGACGATCAATAATTCCACTTAACAGGTGGTTTTGGGAGACTTTTAATAATTCCTTTCAAACCACTTGTGAAAAACGTGGCTGTTCAACGAGGCCTCAGAAGGCATCAAACTCATAACTACTGCCGTTGCCTCGGGGCTCAATTAGCTAAAACATTGGCCGCACCCAGGCCTTGACCTTGCTGTTGTTGGCTCCAATCCCACTGAGTTTTTAACAAATGGATCAGAAAGAAGTTTTTGTAAATGATTTACACAAATACTGGGCTTTCTGTGTCCAGTCTCCAGATAATCAATGCGTCTAACCCTCAAGTCATAGTTATATTAGCTCAATGTGTACCTTGTTTTCAAGAACACGATTGTAAAACTCAGGGAAAGGTGGGGTGATGTCACAGAAAACACTGGTTAAATGTCCGGCGGCGTTAAAAACATAACGGACCTGCTATTTATGAAGAAGGAGAAGATGCGATCGTTGAAACATGAAGTGTATTGGCTTAACTTTTCAGACTCCCACTCGAACCCATCATTAAAGATGGCAGCACAGAAAGGGTGATAGGTGGAAAAAGGTGCGCAGTATTTATAGGGTACGATCACCAGGCAGCCAGTCGCTCACTATATTGAGCGGTGGGGTCGTAGTCAGCGACTGCTTAACGACCCCTATCCGAGTCGTTAATGGCCGTTATTTCACCATCGCTATCGTTTTTCGGTGTTGCCATTACTCGGCCATTTGTCCCGCTGTCATCGTGACCGCTGGTCATCCACACCCTCCCTGCGGGGTTAGTGATTATGCTCACGCCCTACTCTCATGGCTAATTACTCTGCTCAGGCAAAATCACAGCACAGAATATGGAGGCAGAAGGTCGATGCGCATGTTAGTTGAATGCGGGCCGGGAAACCACAACGCGAGTAGCTCACGACGTACGCAGTTGCCACCTCTTGCAAAGATTTCGGCCTCGTTAAACCCGAAGATGTAGCCGGGTCCCGTCAAATGAGCTGCGATCTAGGAGTTAATGTCTTTCCTCCTCGCTGTTGCTGCATGCTCGGCCTTCCGTTTTCGGAGTCATTTCGAACTTTCTCCGACATAGTTGCTTTGTCCGAAACTGCATCAGATCCAACAAACTACAACAGACGTTTCCTGCCCTGGCAGTGGATCTTTCGGCCTTACGATTAGGCGTCTGATGGTTACCTCCGGTCTGAGTGCAACTTCAATTCAGAGTAATGTGGAAAGGCGGCTGACAGCTTCCGAGACTTTATTAATGTACGGCAGCGCTTGCCCAAATTCTGGGTTCGTTGAAGTTTGCCCCTCTTTACGTTTATGCATGCAGCGCCTGACGAAGCGGAGCGGGTACCCGTACGTTCTAGGCACGCATCGAATATGCTGTAGTTCAGCAACTTGTCCTTCGTCACTGCAATGCGTCTCGACACGCCGGTATAGCGCCTTTATGAAATTAGGTTTGTGACTGATTAAATGGTTGCTGCTGAAGCTCAGTACTTGCGTCGCTTTTGTCACTGTTCCGAACACTTTAGCCTTTACACCACCACAATCTTTGCGGCTGACGAGGACAACAAAGAAGGATAGCCGGTTATTCTCTCTCTCCTCCATCATGATTTGTACGTCGGAGGACAGATTTGAGATGTTCTTTGAATTATAGAACTAAATCCCGTCGAAGGTATCATCCACACACCGAGCCCAGAATTTCGCTCTGTGATGTCGGGAGATCGGTGATTCCAACCGTTACAGGACCGCCTCAGCTGATATTTATTGTTATTTTTCAATGCGTTTTACCTTCAATGCATGCTGCCTTTTAAAGCATTGCTATAATTAGTCTTATCAAAGCGACGTTTACGGTACACGTTCTCCACATTTCCGGTTTTAGGTAAAAACAATAGGCCTTATAGAATGATTGTTACCTAAATATCAAAAACGGTGTGCTAAAATAGGCGTTTTCTGCCAGTTTTGTAACAGTTCGTGAGTCACTCTAAATACTGTACGATGCAAATTATATGCAGGCTTTTGGGTATTTTCTAGGACATCAGGGCACGGGCGCAAGTAGCCACCTAGGTTCTGCATGACAATCCACTAATTTCTGACATTTGCATAAGATGAACTAGATTAAAGGCAAAAGTTCGAGTTCCAGGTTATGTATAAGTAAAAAAGAAGGATGTTTGAGAACCGGAACATTTTATTTATTGCTCTGAGCTTTCGAACTCGTGCAGAAGTCCAACGTCAGAGACAGCAGCAGCAAGAGAACAGGAGACAGTTATCGGGCGTGTAAGCCAGTCATCGACTGATGGCGCAAGACTGGAAGTGACTGCGCAGGCCTCTGTACTCCGGCACCAGATTGATACATCGACCGACTGAGGTCTCATCCAAGTCTCAAGCTTCAATCAATTCTCGGCCTGTTTTGTTTCCGGCGTGGTTGACTATTTTTGTTGGCTGCGAAGTTAAACTCATGACCTGTGTCGTAGGTGTGGGCAGCCAGTTGTGATAATGCGTCGCCCAGTCGCACAGCCAGCTTATGTTCGTGTATGCGCAACCCAAGCTAGCGTCCAGTCTGACTGGGCGACTAGGCCATGCATTTTAACAAGTGGCTGCCCACACCTACGCTTTGCTCGGTTTTATTTAAACGTCGTTGGGTTTGGCCTACCGTTTGATTGACTTATGACTAAAAGCGACTGGTTTGACACTAAGATGGTTTCGAAGTAATTTTAAGGAAAAAACATAATTTGCCTCCCATCCTAAATTTCTCAATTGGAGGAGCCGGTAATTTCAGAGGGAAACATCAGTTGCTGAGAGAATTCGAGACTCATAGTAAGCAAGGAATTATTGCAGATATGGTAGGGGACAAAACTCATAAAATCGTAACTGAAATAAAACAGATATTCTCAGTCAAAGAGAACTGCCTAGGTGAAGGATAAATGCCCAGTGGCATACAGCATAAACCCAGGATATTTCCCATAGTCTAGGATGCGGGCTACTGACCACGTATCTTTTCGGCCAGCTACAAAAGTTGCATTCATTAGCTGCGATTGCTTAGATAATTCTTCTTATTGGTTTTCGATGTCTCTATAAAGTCAGATGTATTTTGTCGAAAGTGCGCATAAAATATTCTTTCTTGTAGTCCCCTGTGAAAATAACGTCTTATTCAGATTTTTGCTTGTAGGAATCTTGGTATGCATGGAATGCTCTGGGATATTGTTGCATGTTACTCAACCTTACGGTACCACCGGGACCATTATTTTAATACGAGCACATTTAAACATTCTAGTGAATGTTTCATGAGTTTGGACACTTATAGGCTGTTCGTTCAACTACTTAGGAAATAATAAGTTTGAATACAAGGGTCATCAATGTTAATAAGACAATGTGGACTTTCACTACTTCTGCAGTCCAGTGGCATTTTAGACGAAAATCGTGCCCTAAGCATCGAAAATGGAAACAACCTTAGTATGCGATAAAGTGGTACTTAATCAACAGTCCACTACGGTAGCTATTATTGCAAAAACATTTAGCCAGAGACTGGCTATTTGTCATAAAAACCTTTCGCTTTCACAAAAAGCTTTAAAAATCTGCTACATTACTTTTGGCTGCATGCATCGCCTTATCAAAATTGTATCCATGAGCAAGTGTTAGTAAGTACCCCGCAGTTATACCGACCGTTTGCATGCCCGGCTACATTCGCATCGCTAAGATGTAAAATAATGAGAATGTGCAGCTCCAGCCGCCTGGTTGCTTTCGTTAACTAACATCTTCTGAAGCATTGCATTTCTTTTTTAGCATGCAACTGTCGACAAAAATCTCAAAAGTTTTGTGAACCATCAAAATATTGAAAGTCCGGAAACTGATATGAGACTTTGATGACAAATAAATATGCACCAATTAAAAGTCATTTGAGGGTACAATAAGCAAAATAGCTTAGTTTGTATTTTGAAGAAACTTTCTAGGTAATAATTAGTTAAAATAACCCAGTCATCAATATTTACCGGGCTGGCACTTATACACACGTCAGGTAGCCTTCAAGTCTATTTTAAAAATGCGAAGACATTGAGTTATTAAAAGACGAAATTGACTTTGTGAAAACTTGGAGGCTATTCCATATCTTTCCCATAATACTAAAACTGGGCTGTACAATTCACGCCTATATACGACTACAACGGGTAACGAAGCACAGGGTGTCAGGAGCAGAGTCCATTTTATTCATTTGGATATCAACGTAAACTGGAAAAAATTGCGTAGACGGAAAAATTCCCGTTAAGAGGGATATGTTGTCATACACGTAAGTGCTCTGGATAGATTGAAATATAGGTAACATTAAAAAGTGTTTAATTCTTCTAAAGAAATAGATATATTTACGTCAAATAATTTAGCTAAGGAATATCGGTTTTCAGTATATTTATACTTTTCTATTTGTCCTTGTAATTCCTTTGATCGTACAACTTCAGAATGCAAACATTCAATTGCTAAAAAACCGAAAACGCTTTGACAAAACGTTTCGGCCATTATATGATCCTTTTGGTCATTTTTAACATAAAATTCACAATATGGGTTCTTAAGGGTGTGAAATTACTAGACAATCGTTTCTTTCTCAAATTTATACTAATCAGCTGCTCGGAGTCTAACCAAAACATGTAAAATATTTGATCTGAAAAAAAGACAATTTTGCATGTCAAGGTTCATGGGAATTTTTGCTAACAGGCATGTATTGGGATACTGCATACTTCATTTACATTTTGGGTGGGAGTCCAAATACTAACTAAAAGGTCATTCGAAGGCACTTTTCTTCATCCTTTTCTTTGATCTCTTCACGAGAGGAGTAGTTTAGAGGAACAAATCTGGGTCTCCCTCAAAGGCAGGCAACATACAATAAGAGAAGCAATCCCCACCTATGCGTTGTCTTTTCCACGAAAAAACTAACATGGATATCTTTATTTCAGCAAAATGACATAATAATAATACAGTGCGTGACCTATCTCATGAAATGTTGGCTGAAATTCTGAAATGCGTTTTCGATTAGGAAGGATTACTTGGTCGCGGTTTTGATACTGATTATCTTAAGGCAAACTCTAATAACATTTCGGACTCGGCAGGATGTCGGCTGTTAAATGCACTTCTTTTCAATCTCCTATAGGAAGCGTACTCGGTAAAAAATGACTACTTAAGTAGCATGCATTTTTCCCATTGATTTTCGATGGTCTTTGAAATTCAAATATATTTCTTAGAAACCACAAACACAAATATGCTTTCTTCTTGTCAATCAATAGAAAATCACGTCTTATGTATATTTTGTACTTAAGGAAGGAGTATAATTAGGTTTTAAAAAATTTTTCTAATTGCCGAAAAATTTGGAGCCTGATCATTCGTTGCATAAGCGCTTAGTGATTAAACTCTACAAGGTGCATGCGTTCCGCGTAAAGAAAATCCCATATTTTTCTATGTCATTAAAGAGCTATCATACAGGGTCCATAAAATTTTGCAATGAATGCGGACCATGTTGTACATTTCACGAGGAGCAGTGGTAAACGGCCAGGTACGATGCTCTGTGAATGGACATCTCGCGATATTAAAAGGTCTCATAATTAGAAACATTTTTAAAACCTAATTAGGCCTTTTCCTTAAGTATAAAATATAAAGAAGACGTGACTCTCTATTGATTGACAAAAAGAAAGCCTTTTTGTGTTTGTGGTTTTTATAAAATATATTTTAATTTCAAAGACCATCGAAAATCAACGGAAAAATGCATGCTACATAAATAGTCATTTTTGACCGAGTACGCTTTCTACAGGAGATTGAAAAGAAGTGCATTTAACGGCCGACATCCTGCCGAGTCCGAAATGTTATTAGAGTATGCCTTAAAATAATCAGTATCACAACCGCGACCAAGTCATCCTTCCTAATTGAAAACGCATTTTAGAATTTCAGCCAACATTTCATGAGATATGTCACTCACTGTACATCTTCGCAAATTTTATACTTTTTACTGAAAAAGAGGGAGTCAATGAGTGACCTTTTGCAGTAAACTGTTAAATTAGATATATCATAATTTCCCTCTTCCTTTCATACACTCGCTACAGCTTCAAAGTTCAAGTTCAAAAATGGGTATTCATCCATCGAAATGTATTTATTTTAGTAGAAAATCTATAGTTTGATTGCTCAGTGAAGGTTTGATGGGGTAATGTAAGTGCAGTCTTTGTGCCAGCGGTCTGGCAGTCCTATTTGCTTTCAATTATAAATGGATGGCGCAAGAAATCAATTCTAATATATGAACTCAAAACGACAGCCCCATCTGGTTGCGGTAAAAAAGTTATTTGCCCAAGTAGTTAAGCCTCTTTCCAAAAACGCTATACTATAATAACTGTCCTAAAATCCCGAACGTGCTAATGCACATATTTTAAGTATAATACTTAACGAACGGTGTAAGATAGTATTGGTTTTCGGGAACTAAATGTTGCAGTCCTAACTCCTGTTTTCAGCTGAAAACGTCGGCGTTATCCGAGAAAGTAACATAAGCTTTTTAAAGAATGACATGAGGATTACTAGTAAAACGGCAGATTTCTGAATATGCTCTGCTGCCCAGTGGTGGTTTGCATTAGGACTATGAAGGAGTAGAACCTTCTGTACCAAACGAAATGACAAAATCCGTTTATATATGAGGATCCTTCAACAGTGAACAACTTCTCTTATAATTCTTGAGCGCAAGATGGGGGCCTATTGTAAACCATTTATCTAGACGAATGCCATAGACCAATGTTCGCAGGATACATTACTAGCCCATGCATTTGAAAATTGGTCCCTTGCAACAAGCCATGACAGCCACTCAAGACGTGGCCTACAGGCGCCCATACCACAAGATTTATGAGACCATTGACACCTTTTGCCATCCAACCCTCTGTATAGGCAGTACGCGCGTTCGAAAGCAGCATTCAGAGCATGATAACGGCTATGATGGTTCACTAAGTCATATAATTATGAAAAAGGAAAATATGTCGGAGAACCTCCTCAATATCCCTAATTTGTTTTTGAGACAAGTAATGACAATGAAGAGAATAACGAATATTTATGAGGTAGAAGAACGATGGACGTTCCTGATACCATAGTAGAAGGCAAATAATTCGAAAATGAATAAAAAGTCTTCGCATATTTTTGATTGTATCGTGTCCCCATTCTCAAACGTTTACTGCGCAATTAAGTGGGTTTCAGATTTGTAAGCAAGATACTTATGAGAGATGGGCAGAGAGATGCTGCCAATGCATCAGAACACAGGAATCCAAGCCCAGGCCAAGTCATCGCCTGTTTTATACGCCCCTGGATTAGGGAAGTTCTGTGCGAGGGTGAGGGACGTCGGTTAGCCTTTTGTCCACTTCACCTCCTTGTTATGCTCCTTCACGTCCCTCCCGTAGACCAGGACCTCACGGACTGGAGTGAGGTCGGTCTCGGCTAACCGGCTAGATACTTAGCCAAGACAATCAATTCTGCAGCAACAAACCTATACAGACCCACAAAAATCCTCTGACAGAGCCTCGCGCACCAGTCATGTGAAACCCACTAGGTGAGAGTCACAGACAGACAGATAACGTTTTGAAACTGGAAGATAAAGGGTACTTCCAAAAGAACGCCTTTACAAAAGTAATTTAAGTATAAGCTAAAGGAATAGTCCTTCTCACTTTCCACCGTAAACACTATTCATCATATCATCGAAATTATCGGCGTTTCGATGCGGAAAGAAGAGTGTGTGTACGGCACTTCCACAGTGCCCGAGCAACCACGAAGAGCATTCACGAATCTTACAAAGCCTATAATTTCAGAAATATAGCTGACTGATCTAAATGCATCCCACTGCAATCTCCCTTTTCTGAATATTTCGACTAATTGCTGCGGAATGATAGTCGAACGACTTCAGCCTGCATGCAAAACGCTAACGTTAGTAGGGTCGCTGATTTATTACAACTGTTTGGCTTCATTTGAGTGATGACCCGCACGACCACTCTACGCATAATTCGTATCCTTAGTCACAATAAATGGATTGAAAACCTGCAAGTTCTTTCCGGCACATATGCATTCAGGAACTTCAGAAGAAAAATACAAGCCAGTTAACCCAGGCAAACAAAGACGATTTACCAGAGGATACTCATATGCTTGGGGCACTAGTACGTTCGAAGTAGCTGTTGGGTGTTTTTAACCTCGGGATGCCACTGTTAACGGTTGAAATAAAACTAAAAGAAAACTTGGCGTGCTTCAACACAGAGCTATCATCTGCGCGGTGTTCAGAGTTCTCAGTGGCTACTCGAAAAACCTGTTGTGGCTGAGTTAATGCACATCTCGCAAAACCGAGGAACGATTTTCATCTTTAATGCCTGATTAACAGTGGGGTGCACAGTGGCTGCAAGATGCATATTAAACCTATAGAAGGACGAGATCGGCGGAGTTGGTGCCAGTCACTCAATCTAGAGATGTTTAACAGATTTTGAATAAGTCATATTGACCCAACTGTGAAAAACTCGGCTCCTCGGTGGATTCGAACCCACGCGGTAAGGGGAAGGCAGTAGTATGGCCATCGCTCTAACCACCTGAACTACGAGGCCTCTCCAGACGACGAGAGTTTAATCACATTTGGGTCAAGTTACCCGCTCAACCTACTACAACGTCTGGAATCCACCAAATGTGATACAGTAAGTTGACTGCCCAAGCAGGATTTTCAATGTAATTCACTTCGGTGACAAGATAAAGTCAAGAAGCCCGGAGGGGCGCGAGGGCGCAGGTGGCCTACACGGCCGGACCCCTACCCGGACGCACCACCACATCCCCTGGCCCACAAAAAAAACTTGACCAGGATTTTGACCAACAACACAACGAGGGGTCAGAAGGAGGAGGACGGCGGGAGCGCAAGCTTACCTATCGGCAGGGGACCGGATTTCAGAGAACTGCGGTCGCGCACCAGGCTACGAGGACCATGGTTTGCTGATCCAGGCGCTTGGGGACCAACCAATCATATGCCCAACTTTCGCCTAATTATCCCCTCCTGCTGGTATGGCCAGGTCACACTCTCGTAAACAACATATTGCTACTCGTGCGCTCCCAAAACGGAGGCTTCATTCTGACACACGACATTTCGGCCGTCGATTCCGAGGATGCCCACAGAGTGCTTCACAGCAGATCGAGAGCAGAGACGGTAGTTTACGCGTGAAATTATTTGTGGCGACACTGCGGCATATACCGCAGTCCCTCATTCCCCCCACTTGGCCCCCCTGTCATGACAGAGTCAAGAAGACCGGAGGTGGAAGAGAGCGCAGTTGGCAGGCGCGATGAAAACCAGCATCTAGGTGCGCCACCACACCCACTTGTCCACAACTTTCACTGATCTGGAATTCACACAGCGAGGAAAAAAAGGGAGAGGGGTGCCTCGGATCCCAACTGACGCGGCGTGGACCTGCATTTGCACACACCGACACACCCCCAATGTCGGCATTTGTTATGGCTGCGCATCTCAATAACGCCTGCCGGACCCTCACGTAGCCGCTGTGTTGGCCCAGCGCATTTGCCGCTTGGCCAATCGGACGTACAGGCAAACACCCAAATCACAATAGTTTGTCATGTGCGCACAATAAGCGGCTCGCACAGCTCGTCGACTTCTGACATTGGACGCGATGAACCGAGTGTGTGTGGTTGAAATTGATCTCAAATCATTGACTGCCTTAGATTTCGTACTTATAATTTATGAAGCACAGGATAGGAAACAAAACAGTGAAAGACAAAAGAGTGGTACCTCGTTTGTTGTTTCACACGAAACTTCAGCGGTGGAATCTTGCAGTGCTTGACTGTCAGAGAGCTGTACACAAGCCATACTAGACTGTACCCTGTTTAGGAGTGGTGATACACGACGCACGCTGGGCAGACTACTCGTTGATTCCTCCGAGGTATGCTCAGATTGTGCTGGCACAGAAATACTTCTTTTGGAAGTGGAAGGCGAGAGTGGGTGATGAGCAGAATCTGGGAATGTGGAAATAAGCCAAATTACAGGGTATTTGCTAAAAGTATAGACATCATATGACTAGTTTACTGAGCACGAGGAACTAAGGTGAAATGGGCAGAGGGTCATTTTCCGGTACTGCCTTTAAGCCCTATCTTATGGTTACACGAATAAGATGAGACTACAGTCCCGCATGGTGGAGAAAATGTTTGGAATTGTCTAACCTGATCATACATAACGGGGAGAACGCCGGCCTATCGGCTCATTGCAAGATCATCTGCTGGGTTGCATAGTACAGTAGTGTTGTTGGGAAGGAAAAACAAGCAACTCCGTAGAGTAGAATTTGCAGAATGGAAAACTATACTGCTGCCAGTGAGCGTCCCCTCAACGGGGTGATTCGAAGACCACATTTAAAGGTGGCAGTTATTAGATTACAGAATCACATAGTTCATACAAGGACCGCAATTTTTGCCAATCACCTCATGGGCTTGCTTTGATGTTACCTTAGGAAATTACGTAAGACGATTTTAAAATCAGATAGCCCTCGAGTGCTTTGTTAAATACTCTAGTAAAGACGAATTGGTAGTATAACTTTTACTTAAGAAGATCATACTCTCTGTGCATAATCATTTTATTGAAATAACACGGTAGCCCATATCCACAGTGCAATCCTCCATGCAAACAAGCAACTTGAAAACCAAACCACTATCTAAGGTGAATAATTTTCGCCGTGACTGATTTTCGTTGAATCCTCTTTATCTTCCTATTTCCTGATAAAATGTGAAAATAAAAATCAGCATGTTTGCCCCCTAAAAATTTATGAAAAGTATCTGGGCCTGCAGGCGTACCTAAGTAGTTAGAACTCGTGTGGAGTATATTTATTTTGTCTCCCCGGGCATTTCCTCTCAAGGTTATAGACCACAAAATGCGCAGGCAATCGTATCCACTTAGTATCTCCCACTAAAAGGAACACATATTATCATCGAGAATTATTTTAAGATACTTAAATCGTTCGCTTGCAAAAAAATGTCAACACTGTATAGATCCCATGCGCAGAAGTTACCGCCTCAAAGTGATGTTCTTTAACTTAACACGATGGGCTAACATTCGTGACTTCGAAGGTAGCCAGCTGAGGGTGAAAGTCAAACCTCGCAGACGTGTGCGTGGAATGGCTGACTGGTGGACTGAGAGTCAGCCCCAATGGCTCCTTCATGTGGCATCTATGGCAGTTTTACGCGTGTGAGACCCGAGACGCCCATCCCCCTGTGTGCAAACCTGGTGTGTTGTGCCGGGACCAAGTCCTGTTTAGCATGTGTAGACGGGCTATTGAGCCGTGTCGATCATTTGCGCTCCGTCTGCACGTCCGATGACTGACCGGTTAGGACAATGGACCGGAGGATGATGGAGGGGAAAGGGAGGTCGTCACGGCATTTCGGTGCATTTTTTTCACGACAAACAATTTGGCGCGCTTTTAAACTATCACTATGTGCTAAAAGCTGTGGCTTAAAAGGCTGGCAAATGACTGGAGAACTCGGTCCTCTTTAGAGGGAAAGACAGGCTGCAATTGCTTCTTCCTAAAATGGCCTCCTTGGCATTCCAACTCAGACGGGATACGAACCGACCACTTCCTCTTTCCGTGGAAACCCGGTCCATCGTGCATAGATAAGCCGTGTGTGTGGCACGTTTAGACCGGCTGGTTGGCATTGTCAGCTACCGCGTCCGATTTCATCTCCGGTCATCCTGACTTAGTCTTGTCCCCAGGCCCCGGTGGGCGGAAGAGGAGATTGTACGACAGATGTTGTGCAAGCCTACTATCATCCTAAACTACTTCATGTGCAAGTCACCGTCCTGCGCACACGTTGCTGTGGGACATGGTGGACATCGTCGTTGCCAGGCTTCCATCCTTCCTGCTGTCATAGAGAGCATTCAACGTGTCCGGAAAGTATAAAATAAGGTAACCATTTCCAACCAGCAGGTGTGCCGCTCCGTTGGCTGTAAACACACAAGCACTGAATTTGCGCGTGGTGTTCGAATTTGGGCTGTCATTATTTGTGCTCTCTGTGGAAATTTGCGTACTTGCACATTACGTGGCCTTCCTAATTTATTATATAAAGACCACTTTCTGCCCTTTATCTGTCTGAATTACGATAATGAGGTCATCTGGACAGCTCGCTCGCAGGCTTTTGAGGAAGCTATAATGTTGCGTAAATTCTGCACCGAATTCACCATCGACTGTTCATGATACCAGATGTTGCGTCCTGCGGCCGTATTTGCTGCATTTATGAGTTTCCCGTGAAATCGTGCTTTCATAAACAAATGCCCATACACCGGAATAAACAGCGTTGCGGTTGTCAACCGGTACTCAAGCGTCAACAAGGGAACTTGCTGTCAGTTCCAGACTTCCCTTTGACAAAAGTCATGATATAGAATTACTTCTGTTAACAAAGAAACACCGAAGAACTGAAATGATTTGCTTTCAAGAAACATAACTGAGTAGTGATCTCGATTCGCAACTACTTACTCCTGCGTTCGAAAGAATGGGGAACCCTCATTATGCCGCAAGGGTAGGGAGGGACTATTTTCGTCGATCAGAACTGGTGTGAAAACTGTAAACCCTTGTTTTCCGGCTGCGGTGATTAGGTAGACGTAATCACTGTCAAAATCTGACCCCGGTTGTTAGATAACTTGAAGGATGCTAAATTCCACACTATTTATATTCCGCCCTCTAACTGCGAAGATGTCTTAGCCCGGTATTTCGACTTTCTTCGTCAAAACTTATTTTTCTGTTTTTTTGACAGCTTATTCAACCGTGCGAACCTACGTCCCACAATATTTTTGGGCTTTTAAGGCCTTGTTTCCTCCCCTACTTATGCCGATGCCTTCATTGATCAAATGTTAACTATTTACCATAGGCTTTTTATGGCAACATAGAGCTCAGCTGTCTGGTTCAGATCACTCCGTGTTATTGGACCTTCCTAACATCTACTCCATTTATAAGTGTGCACTGTTAGCCAACCATGGAAAAAATCGCGGTCCACGATATATCTCCACGAAGCAGTTGTTTGCTTCGGAGTTCAATGGCTGCTAGTATCTCAGTTTGCCTACACTAACGGATGTCGAATCGGGTTCGTCCTAGCTTATAACACTTGAAATGTCATTTTGATATCTGTTGCTAACCTGAAACTGCTGCGGTAAGACCTGACGGAATTTCTTTCCCATACCTCAAGTTTTTATGACAGTCTTAAGGATGTTAACATCGTAATAAAGTGGGTGTTTGTCCGACTGAACGAACTGCTTTCATTTAGTTTTTCCTCCTCTTCCATCCCTTCTTTTTCCCTGCCCTCTGCTGACATGTGGAAGGATTATAAGCGTCTGACTGGCCAGCGGAGCATATGAGCACACGTCGACGTCAATTTAGACTCATAAAACGAAAATTACATTTTTACTGGCAAGGACTCCATTCTCCTCTCTAACGACGGTTCCCTTTAAGCGTAAGCCTTCTGTACTGTATCTGTGGCTACGGCGAAGAAATATCCTCGTAAGGTCCTTGGATGAACAGCTGCCGGGCCGAATGGTACCTCACTATTTCTCCTCTAATCCCGTTCTTATCAGACGACACTTATTTTAAGACTTTTCAGGGTGCCCTTCATCGTGTGAAAAGGTCCGACGCTTGGCGTACAGCAATATTCACTAAAGTCCCTTAGAAGTTTGCTAATTTTGGCCTTAAATCCGCCCATCTACTTGCATACTTCACCGCACTTATGAAAATCGCTAAAGGGGTTGTCTTAAATGCCATCCTTTTATTCTCCGCCGATTTCCCTGACCCTTTTCAATTTGCATATAACTTCATGCGTAGTGCTTTGGATCCCATTGCTCTTGTGGTTCAATCTGTTCTAAGGCAGCTAGACATGGGTTGCCGCGAATGTTTACTTCTCGACTGGTCCTCTGCTTTTAAGATAGCACCGCGTCATTTCCTCCTCAGCAGGACATCTGAATGCGACTCTTCCGGCTGGATTACTTCTTGAGTTAGAGATTACTTAGTTTTTCGCACCTTATTTGCCCTGTTTGGCGAGCAAAAATGGACTGTTTCTCCTAATCACTGCAGAGGTTTGTAAGGTTTTATCTTATTCCCTCACGTCCTACTTCACACTGATGATGTGAGATTACTCAACGACTGCTTGTATGTTAAGTATGCTAATGATGTGGTTGTTGACCACCCTATTAAAAATCAGACTCGTTTCCAGTTTCTGAAGAATGACTTAGATCGTGTCTCTGCATAGTTCTTGGAAAACAGTCTCTTGCTTAACGATCGGAAACCTGTCCGGTGCGTTTTTCGACTGAGATCCTCTGCCATTCCTGAACCCTCCGACATTTTTCCCAACGGAATATCATCTTTCCGGAACTTTGATTTTACTCCGTTTTTAACCCTCTCATTCTCCCTTTGTGCTAAAACTCTTTTCATTAAAATTCGTAAAATTATTTATTAATTTTTCGTTTGCGTCCTTATCACACATCTCAACCCCTACTTTGAAGACCGATGGATGTTTGCATTCTCCTTCTCACTGTTTTTGTTCTCTGGACATTTATCTTGCCCTGCACAAAAAGATATAATCATTGTAAAACATAACGTCCGTGTGCTCTGTTCTGCTGCCGGTGCTTTTTAGGTCTTTTAGCTGATACCTTAATTAATCGACATTCCAAGGCGGTAGAGCTACTTGCTAATCGGATTCTGAGTAAGGTTGTCCATGCCCTTTATTCTCAGTTAATGGCAGCAAAGTCTTTTCGCATCACGCGCTGTGACTTTCAGCATAGGTTTTGTCACAAATAGGCATACCAGGGTCCATTACTACCATCTATGGCACGATATCTAACGT